ATCAGAATGTTGGACAATATTGTTAACTATGGAAAAAAGAATAAAGCAGTTGAGTTGTGGTTCTTAAGATACATCTCAAATGAAGATATTTTGTCAAGAGGTGGTTGCAGGAGGAAGCTACTGACTGGCATCAGAAAGAGACAGTTGGAATTTATTGAACACGATATGTGAAAAGAAGAAATTAAAAGTCTGGTCATAACTGAAAATATTGAAGGAAGGAGAGACCATGGAAGACGGAGGTTGACTTATGAGAAATGGATAAATGAATCGATATTAGAAATTCTTTGTGTCATAAGGAGGAGAGATGTCTGGAAGATTATGGTCACCAACGTCCTGTTTGGGTATGGGAATATTTATATATATATATCAAGTGATCCATATTCATAATCTCCATTATGTCATTACTAGAACACAGTAGTGTGATCAATGTTTATAACCTCCATTACTAGAACACAGTAGTATGATCCATGTTTATAACATCCATGATTTCATTACAAGAACACAGTAGTATGATCAATGTTTATAACCTCCATTATAAGAACACAGTAGTGTGATCAATGTTTATAACCTCCATTACTAGAACACAGTAGTGTGATCAATGTTTATAACCTCCATTACTAGAACACAGTAGTGTGATCTATGTTTATAACCTCCATGATTTCATTACAAGAACACAGTAGTGTGATCAGTGTTTATAACCTCCATTACTAGAACACAGTAGTGTGATCCATGTTTATAACTTCCATGATTTCATTACTAGAACACAATAGTGTGATCCATGCTTATAACCTCCATTAATAGAACACAGTAGTGTGATCCACGTTTATAACCTCCATGATGTCATTACTAGAACACAGTAGTGTGATCCACGTTTATAACCTCCACTATGTCATTACTAGAACACAGTAGTGTGATCCATGTTTATAACCTCCATTATGTCATTACAAAAACACAGTAGTGTGATCCACGTTTATAACCTCCATGATGTCGTTACTAGAACACAGTAGTGTGATCCACGTTTATAACCTCCATGATGTCGTTACACGAACACAGTAGTGTGATCCACGTTTATAACCTCCATTATGTCATTACTAGAACACAGAAGTGTGATCCACGTTTATAACCTCCATGATGTCGTTACACGAACACAGTAGTGTGATCCACGTTTATAACCTCCATTATGTCATTACTAGAACACAGTAGTGTGATCCATGTTTATAACCTCCATTATGTCATTACTAGAACACAGTAGTGTGATCCATGTTTATAACCTCCATTATGTCATTACTAGAACACAGTAGTGTGATCCATGTTTATAACCTCCATTATGTCTTTACAAAAACACAGTAGGGTGATCCACGTTTATAACCTCCACTATGTCATTACTAGAAACATTTCTTTGTATAATCTAGAAATCTAAAAAGAGTTACTAGGAATGTCTTATTTCAAATAACTGACAGTTGAAGTGACATATAGAATATTTTAAGTTGACAAACAGAGCACGAAATAAACTCATCACATAATATAGATCTTGCACTAAGCAGATTGAATTAATTTGTTAATGGCTTAAGTCAAACTGATAGCAAGTCGTAGGTCCTCCAGAATAAAATCAGTATTAGGCCCTTTAAGGTTAGAGATTATTGTATTAATATTTGTGATATTGGATCTGAGATTTGTTTGACGAACAAAAATTCCATTTGTTGTTTTAATATTCATAGCTACAGTATTAGTATTGTACTGTTTGTTAATGGTTGTTCATCATGAGATCTTATGAGTCATGAGTGAATATCGTTACGTGGCTAATTATACTAGTAGTTATGGGATCATTATCATTGTTTCAGACCCTTCACTTTTTAATACAGATAGCAGTGTCAGGAAAATTGACAATATGCTTCGATATTTCGCTTTTATAACGTACATAATAGAATAATTGGAACGGAACGAGCCACTGACAATTAATAACGATAAACAATATAAAGTCTATAACATTGCGTTACGTGGTTGATATTCTAGCAAAATATAACTGTTAAACCAACAGAAACATGGTAGTAAATAGAATAAAGTCTATAACATTACGTTTCATGGTTGATATTCTAGCAAAATATAACTGTTAAACCAACAGAAACATGGTAGTAAACAATATAAAGTATATAACATTACGTTACGTGGTTGATATTCTAGCAAAATATAACTGTTAAACCAACAGAAACATGGTAGTAAACAATATAAAGTATATAACATTACGTTACGTGGCTGATATTCTAGTAAAATATAACTGTTAAACCAACAGAAACATGGTAGTAAATAATATAAAGTCTATAACATTACGTTACGTGGCTGATATTCTAGTAAAATATAACTGTTAAACCAACAGAAACATGGTAGTAAATAATATAAAGTCTATAACATTACGTTACGTGGCTGATATTCTAGTAAAATATAACTGTTAAACCAACAGAAATATGGTAGTAAACAAATATAACTGTTAACCCAACAGAAACATGGTAGTAAACAATATAAAGTCTATAACATCACGTTACGTGGCTGATATTCTAGTAAAATATAACTGTTAAACCAACAGAAATATGGTAGTAAACAATATAAACCTCATAATTTCAGTTTACATGACTGGAATTTTAATAAATGTCTAACTGTTAAACTAACAGAAAAACTCCGTTAATTAAACTGCACCACAAAGCTAAAACGAGCACTGGTACCTTATCAACCAATTATTGTACACTTTTTAACGCTGTGGTAAATTTTGATTTAGTTAACTTCTGTAAAAGTACCGTCTTGTGTCTATGGCTAACAGAAACATGTTGATAAATAATATCATCTTGATAATAACAATATAAAGTCTATAACATCACGTTACGTGGCTGATATTCTAGTAAAATATAACTAACTGTTAAACCAACAGAAACATGGTAGTAAACAATATAAAGTCTATAACATTACGTTCCATGGCTGATTTACTAGTAAAATATAACTGTTAAACTAAAAGAAACATAGTAGTAACAATATAATGTCTATAACATTACGTTACGTGGTTGATATTCTAGCAAAATATAACTGTTAAACCAACAGAAACATCGTAGTAAACAATATAAAGTCTATAACATTACGTTACGTGGCTGATATTCTAGTAAAATATAACTGGTAAACCAACAGAAACATCGTAGTAACAATATAAAGTCTATAACATTACGTTACGTGGTTGATATTCTAGCAAAATATAACTGTTACACCAACAGAAACATGGTAGTAAACAGAATAAAGTATATAACATCACGTTACTTGGATATAATCTAGCAAAATATAACTGTTAAACGAACAGAAGCATCGTAGTAAACAATATAAAGTCTATAACATCACGTTACGTGGCTGATATTCTAGCAAAATATAACTGTTAAACCAACAGAAACATGGTAGTAAACAATATAAAGTCTATAACATCATGTTACGTGGCTGATATTCTAGTAAAATATAACTGTTAAACCAACAGAAACATGGTAGTGAACAATATAATGTCTATAACATTACGTTACGTGGCTGATATTCTAGTAAAATATAACTGTTAAACCAACAAAAACATGGTAGTAAACAATATAAAGTCTATAACATCATGTTACGTGGCTGATATTCTAGTAAAATATAACTGTTAAACCAACAGAAACATGTTGATAAATAATATCATCTTGATAATAACACTTTAAATGATTGAAATCCCAGTAAAGGTTTAAGTGGAGCTAAAAGAAAATAAAACATGATAAACAACGAAACGTTAAAGAAGTCATTATAATTACCTTTAGCTACGAGATAAAAAACAGGTAAATATGCAACCAGAAATGATAGATATTCACACTCAAAAGAATAACATCTGAACTCAAACAGGGTCAATAGGGAATAAAATAATTAATGTCAATATTATATAGTGGCCTTCTGAGAAACTTGACAGGCATAATTACTTGTAGTCGGAAAAACAACAACATGAAATGTGTTCTTGTTCACGTTTATCTCCTTAAAGATGAAAAATAGATGACTTTATCTTCTTTTTTTAAAAGAATAAAGATGACAAGGCATTATTTTATGTTTTTAAATCACTAGAAAAGTGAGTTTTACTTCATGATTTTAAAGATGAAGAAGAGATGACTTTATCTTCTTTTTTTAAAGAATGAAGATGACAAGGCATTATTTTATGTTTTTAAACCCCTAGAAAAGTGAGTTTTACTTCATGATTTTAAAGATGAAGAAGAGATGACTTTATCTTCTTTTTTTAAAGAATGAAGATGACAAGGCATTATTTTATGCTTTTAAACCCCTAGAAAAGTGAGTTTTACTTCATGATTTTAAAGATGAAGAAGAGATTTTAAAGATGAAGTTTTGAAGAGCCTTAAATCAAACTGATAGAAAGTCGTAGATCTTCCAGAATAAAATCAGTATTAGGCCTTTTAGGGTAGATATTAGGCCTTTTAAGGGTAGAGATTAGGCCTTTTAGGGCAGATATTATTGTATTAATATTTGTGATATTGGACAAAAATGGGATCCGAGATTTATTTGACGAAACAAATTTTCAGTTGTTGTTTTAATATTCATAACTACGGTATTTTATATTACCAAAGTATCTTTTGTAAATGTTAGTTGATTCTTAGAACTTATGAGCCATGATTTATTGTGAGTTAAATTTGTACTTGATACTAATACCTTTTCATCTTGCCATCTAAGCGTTAGATTTCTCTAAAATCATTTGTTTTATCTAGGTATCTTTCTGTTCACTTGAAGGGTTTATAACGACTTATTATCATAGAATTCTGTTAGAGTTGCTATTTTTCGTTGTATAATCTAGAAATTTTAAAGAATTTTCTACGAAGGTCTTATCCAAGTAGACCATGATACGCCAAATGTCTGGAAATGTGGTTGGAATAACATGTATATATTATAGAAGTACGGGTTCTCGATTTCCTGACCTCCTATTGAGGAAAAGCATGATAAAATCTTACCTCTTTCTACCGATGGCTGCAGTAACCAGAAAAACCAGAAAGCAATGACATACGTGCTTTCCGGGATCGGAGTTGATTGCCTGGTTCTTTAAAAGGTAGCATATGAGAAATACGGTTGAGTGCTATCCATCATGTATTTCTTTCAGTCCACACTATAACATTTGTTCTTCTTGTTTTTTCGCCACTTAAACCTTTAACTAACCGCTTAACCCACGGTAAAGGATCCCGTGGGGTCCCTAGCTTTTTTCCGCTGTTGACGGAAATGACGGACGCCTAAGAGTTGTAACCATCCACCAAAGAGCTGGTTCGAGCGTTTAGTGCTAGTAGAGATGTGGAAGCGAGCTGGCTGACGGTTCCACCGCATACAGTACCGACGGCGTAGAGTGATGCTCAGATATAGCCTCGTTCTCCTGATCCTTGAAAGGCATTTTGGGATGGCTGAAATAATGCTCGCACAATAGATGTAGAAACGTTGTATTCGGCCAGAGTTAGCGTTTTAGGGTGTCCTGTTAATCAATACTGTCACTCATTAGTTTGGTAAAAGTATTAGTTAATGAACGTAAAGATAACTTATTCTTAAAAATAAACGGTTCATTTAGAGGCAAGTAAAAACCTTTTTTTTCTCGATCTACTCTGTCTATCTCTCTCTCTCTCTCTCTCTCTCTATGGTGTTCATATATATTTACGTATTAAGTAGCTTTACGTGTACGTCATGATGGTGAAAACTCCACAAAAATACCCATCGAATATATGTTGTCGATTTCATAAATATGATTCCAACCAATCACAAACGTATGGCATATCATCGGTTTCAATTAACGACAATTTGATAAATACGATTCCAACCAAGCACAAACGTATGGCATATCACCGGTTTCAATTAACGACAATTTGATAAGTACGATTCCAACCAAGCACAAACGTATGGCATATCACCGGTTTCAATTAACGACAATTTGATAAGTACGATTCCAACCAAGCACAAACGTATGGCATATCACCGGTTTCAATTAACGACATTGTTTTACATATTTCTTCTCGAGTGTTATTTGAAATTTTCCTTAAACGTAAAGCTGAGTTCGATGAAGATCATACATATTATCAGTTTCATACTGAGTGCCTGTACAAAATATACAAAGCTTCAAGAAGAATTGATTTTACAAATATACGTTATGAAATAACCCACAAATACACGCGATATTTTTATCTACTTTAAAAGACAATACTGTAAAGTATCTCAACGATGACGCCAAGTACACGAATTCTACAACAAAAATAATTAATTCTAGTGAAAAGGTACAGGAACCAGAATTCACAACTCGGAAGACACACATATTCACATTATCTTACTCACCAGGGTTCGATGGAACTTACAGGACACTAAATAATCATCACAACCTATTGACGCTTCGACTGGGTTCATACTACACGTATAGTCTGAGTAAATCACTTAACACCAATAGGAGGCCTCATGCAAGTTCCGTCCTACCAGTCAGACGAGGTGAAGGTCAGCAAGGTGTGGGAAGGAAAATTTGGAGATGACTGGGTTTTCCTGGTTAGCAAGACGGAGAAATAAGATAGTAGAAAAACATAGCTACTCAGTATTACGAAAGATAGAAACATAGATAATACTGCACAAAGATTATTATGAGAGAAAAAACATAGATAATAATGTAAAAATATTATCATAAAAGAAACAAACATAGATAATGCTGCACAAAGAAAGAAAGAACAAAGATAGATAATACTGCACAAAGATTATTATGAAAAAAAAAAACATAGATAATACTGTAAAAAGATTATTATGAAAAAAACAAAGATAAATTCTGCCCAAATATTATTATTAAAAACAAATATAGATAATACTGCACAAAGATTATTATGAAAAAACAAACATAGATAATACTGTAAAAATGTTATTATGAAAAACATACATAGATAATACTGTAAAAATATTATGAAAAGACATAGATAATATTGCATGAAGATTATTATGAAAAAACAAACATAGAAAATACTGTACAAAGATTATCATGAAAGAAATAAACACAGATAATACTGCATAAAGAATATTATGAAAAAACAAACATAGATAATACTGTAAAAATATTATGAAAAGACATAGATAATATTGCATGAAGATTATTATGAAAAAACAAACATAGAAAATACTGTACAAAGATTATCATGAAAGAAATAAACA